GCAAATAGATTTTGTAGCAACTAGGCACTAATTTTCTCACTTAGTGTTAATAGATTTTGTAACTACTAGGCGCTAATCTTCTCACTTAGTGCTAATAGATTTTGTAGCTTCTAGGCGCTAATCTTTTAACTCCAAGTGATACTTCAACGCACACTATCAAAGTGCGCAAAATTTTACTCCATCCACTCCCATCAGTTGGGTAAAGAGAAAAACATTACTCATATTAACTACTTGTTTTACACTTAATGACTAACTCATTTTAGCTCGCATTTCTTGGATGACATGGCTCTTGAATGTTGCTTCATCCAATGATACAACATTATTACAAGTCAAAATGTAAAGTCAATCCGTGCAGCTCAATAGTCAGGATCATATCTAGATCTACTGAAGGCTTACTAATTTCACAACTCCAAACTGGCTAATCAAAGCTACTTTGCATGCCACTAATCATAGCGCACACATCAGCTTTTATTGCACCAAATAAGGCTACAAAGCCATAGCCAGGTTTAGTCATGTTTCCTTGCTTTGGTTCAATTAAGGTCTAACCTAAATTCACCAAGACTTTCTGCTCATCTAAAGAATACGATTACATTGTTCATATTTGAACATCTCCACTAAGTCTAGGTCAACCAAATTAACATCTATAAGCTAAGCCAAATAGTGGAAAAAATGTGCATTGGGATTAATTTAATTAGCATATCACAATATAATTTTGCCGCAAAAATCTAAATTAAATAGTGACAATATTACATAAGTCGCAAGATCGAAAATCCACTATGCTTGTAATCATCTCTTGCGCCACAAGTGATAATTATCCAAAATTTAATTTAATTCATGTGCAAAATATTGGTTTTTGGAAGTAAATTTACAAAGATTTCTCTCAACCGAACAACCTCCCACTAACTATGGCATGTCTAAAGCATGATAAAATATTAATTCTACATAATAACATCTCAATGTAATTTATAAAAGAAAACATAATAGAATATTTGATCATGGAATTAAAATTCACCAATATAAATAAATCATGCTATTTAAAATAACAATATATTACAAGTTCTAATCATTTAAAAAAAACTTACCATGTTGTATTTAGTATTTAAATAATGTCATAACAGATTTCTATAATTTTTGCAATTTTCTAAAAGTTTCTAGAATTATAAATAATTAATAATTACATAGAAAATTAGAAATAAATATTACAGAATCTGAAAAAATACAAAAATCATACCAGTAAATAAGATTACATAGCAGTAGTCTACTGTAAAAATTCAAGTCCATAATCCAAGTCATGCTCCCCCAAGAGTAATTTATTGTAAAAAAAATTGAGTTATTCATTAATGAAAAATATTTTACTCTTCAAAAAACTCTGAACCTTTAATATATTGTAGAAAAATGAATTACAAGTCCAATGGTATAAGTCATGTTTCAATCATAATTATAACGAATAATTTAGAAGCAATTAACGTAGTCTTTAAATTTAAAACAAACAAATAGAGCCTTAAAATGTTCATCTATTACGTCACCACTTGTTGATGATGTCATCGCTAGCATTAGTGCGTGACGCCAACAGTTCATCAGCGCGTCAGTCAATGCGTCAGCGCCCAGCCAAACAGTGCGTCAGCATATTAGTCTGCGCATGGGTCCCACGCGCCACCTTCCGGACTCCGTTTGGGTTCGATTTTGGCACTATCTGACTCATTTTTTCAAGAAGAATCCAATAGTAGTCTCGGTTTTTTATTTTGACAAGTCTAAAATAAGGAGTATAATCCATTCTCTTTCTAATGAGAGTAGAAGCGCAGATTTTCTACACTTCATCTTCTATAATGAACCACCAAAAACACAAAAACAAACCTAGATTAGTGTTAGAGTTTTCTCTTCAACCGTACGTTGAAATCAAGTCCATAATATACCATTTTGAAGGTCTCGAAACAACAATTCAAAATATGTAATTTTCATAACAAGATAACGAAGCATGTAAAAACAGCATGCAGTCAAAGTTACGACAATCAAGTGTAAATCTTTATTTTTCCCAAAATCTGACTGTTACTTTGCAGATATGATCTAAATAATATGGACTACAACATATATGAAATTCAGAACGATAAAAGATGGTTTGAAAAACATCAATTTTTATGCACAAATCATATTTATACATATATTCATGCACATATAACTCGAAAATACTCAACAATGGCTCTGATACCAATGTAAGAAAAATAAGAAATATTACACAGCGGCAATAAATGGATTCGGGCATACCTTCTATGCTCAAACAGAATCCATGGATCATATGGGTGAATCACATGCCTCCATTGATGTCTTCGAATAATTCTCAACAGTGGAGTAGAACTACTAGAGAACTATCCACACTATTCACAGTACAAAAACATAGTTCTGTGTTTCCAAGGAGAGAGAAAAAGAAGAGAAAGATTAGAAGAAATAGACTACCAGATTATTCATATGGTTAAATTCTTAGTCTCCCAAATATAATACGTATATTATGTAGGAGAGTTATAGAAACCCATAATGCTATCTCCTTAAAAGATGAGATAGTGAGTTTTATCACTACAACAAAAAAGGGTTTTTACGGCACGCAATGCACACCGTAAAAACCTTTCTATGACGTACAATGCGCGTCATATTATGACCAGTCATGAAAAGTCATTCACTTTCAACGACATGCTTCGTACGCCATTAAAAACTATTTAACGGCAGATTTTGTACGTCATTGTTACTTTTTCTACGACATACTATAGCACACCGTTAAAAACTATTTAATGGTAGATTTTGTGTGTCGTTGTTACTTTTTCTACGACTACTTTTGCATGCCGTTAATTGATGAGACAATAACGATGTTGATTGCGTGTCGTAAAATATGTAATACAACCACTTATTATGCCTGTCGTAGAATATGCAATTTTTTTTTAATTTTTAAATTCATCAGGTTCTATTTGACAAATTTTGTACAATCTAACAAATATTACAAACAAGCATTCACAAAACATCAACCAACCACCAAAATATTGTTTGAAACATCAAAAAGAAACTATATCCATAAATTATAAACATTCAACAATTGTCTATACATTCCAAACATTCGAAAATTATATCCTTAAGTTCTAAACTGTAAAAAAAAGTTTAAACCATCCAAAACTATGCATATCTAACTTTCTAAACATATCGACAACTATTAAGAGATTATCTAAAACTACTGACAACAGTTCCTATAGCAATTGATGTTGCAGCTGTAGCAAATCCACTTGCTCCTATCACAGGGACAAGGGTGCCCAATGTATGTGTTAAGGCACCTAAACCCGCGACAATAGCCGGAGCAATAAACCCTGTTGCATTTCTTGTCTGCATGATAAAGGAAACTTCACATAAGTAGAAAAACCAACAACTCAGGGACAAAAATATTTCTTGAGGAATCATTTCTTGTCACACCACTCATCCATCCCAACATTCTCATTTCAACTTTTTTCGTTTACTAAACATGTTATTTCTTAACTGCCAATATTCAATACAATATACATCATAACAAGCCTAGTAACAGTCCCATGAAATTGTCCCTTCAATCTAATAAGAATCTTAATATCGTATAACACTCTTGATCTAATGTAATAAAAGCTTTTACTTCTCATAAATAAAAGATATGAGAAGTAAAATCTTAACTTCAAAGACTATAACAAAATGAACACCAAGGACTTCAAGAAAGGAAACAAGCTTCAAAACAAAACCCATAACAAGGGATATACCTATCTAGGACGAGACACACTGCATCCAAGGATAGAATTATGTATTGTATCAGTACATACTACATGACCTCCAACATTGTGGGCAGCCTGGATTAAATAAAATTGTAAGAAAATGAAATCCAAACTGAAATTTCGTACAAGCGAAACCAAAATGAGCTCTTCCAAAAAAACACAAACTCTGCAAGTGATCTATAGCATTCACCGTTTAAGCATTTAGCAACACTCTTTTCTACACATGTTTTTTGTACAAAAATTGTGCCATTTTTTAGTGTTTTTTAATACAATTTATTTTACTTATCAAAGAAAATGTGTTTTAGACAGTAATCATAGATTACTGAAATCTACTTGTTCAACTAGCAACGGTTGATTTTTCCACATAGATGCTCTGAATAGTTTCTATTAAAGTCTTTAGTTCATTAAAGTGCTTGGAAGAATAGAAAAAAGGATGAGAACTTTAGGGATCAAAATCAAACTCAATTTCCAGAATAAATATAGATATGTGAATAATTACACAGAAATAAAATCATGTGATTGCATAACACTTGAACCCATGTTTCAATGATTTGATAAATACATGTCCAAACACAAATCATGTAAAGAAATTTCCATCAAGTGACAAAGCTAACCTGCAAATGTCGTAAGTTCCCAAAACATAAGTATATTATAAGCTTTAAAATTAAAAGTTCCCAAAACATTTTTTTTTTTGGGAAAACATATCCTAGTGGGAAGTGTTTAATTTATGAGTCCCACAACTTTCTAACTAAATGAACATGGAAAAAAGTAATGGGAAAGTTGATTTTTCCTGCACTTTGCTTTCTTTTCCTAACAACTGAATGGAGCCTTTTTGATTAGACAATTCATCAAACAACATTACATGGTTAGTGCATCACTTGACATTGAATTCAGTAGTGCTATACAAACTAATAGACTCAAAAGGCACTTTTGAAAAAAAAAAAAAAACAATTCTTAATACTTCCAAAACTTACATTTCAAGTTGTTCACAAAATTCATTTGCAAAATCTATCAGTTAGAACAACAATTCTCCTATAAGATTGTATAATTGTATCCTTGCCCTATCTATTTGTTTGTTATCCCCATAACAGATCTTCTAGAAGACTGCAAAGGTCAAAACTAAAGTGTGACTAAGGAACAAAAAAACCATAAGCATCTCATTTAAGATGATGCATCAATTCGCACATTTGATAAAAACAGAGGTAAATAAGATATTACAGTAAATTTGTCCATTGTACATTGTCACAAAACTGCAGCCACTTGTCATTATCATATCAATATTTCAGGAATTCATTTGGTCTCAAAAGTACATATCATATATATATATATATATATATATTTAACAGATGAAGCTTACCTTCCTAGAGAATTATCTCCATTTCCCTAAAGCTTCCTTAGTCACTGTCTCTAAAGTATACTCAATTTGTCACTGTTCTGAATTGGAAATTCCTCAAACACCTCTCATCTGAAATAAAAGAGAAAACAATATGCTTCTCTGAGTAATGGCTTAATGAAAAACAAAAAAACAAAGATCAAATCAATCCCAATTTGTTCTTTTAAATCGAATCAATACAAGGAAATAGATCATTCAAGGAACTACAATAACAAATAAAGTGATATCAATTATTAAGAATCAAGAAAATCAACAAGCTTACACAGAAAACAGCTGGAGCAACTAACGTTTCATTTCCCTTAATGGATTAAATAAATAATAATAGTTTCACATGTATGCAAACTATTATTATTTATTAAAACTGAATCCATTGTACCTTAGGTTAATAAATAAATAAATAAAGCAAATAAAATAGTCTAAATTTTCAAAGAAGTTTTGCTTGTACATTGTGACATTTGATCAAATACGTAGCATACATGAAGAGAAGTTAAGGAAATCTAAGAAAATAAAACTCAAACAGAGAGAGAATAAAGATATACAAAGGGGCAATCAAAAAACAAAGAAATCATAAAAAGGAAACGAAACAAAATATTCAAAACCAAATCGAGAGAGAGAAGATGAAAAGTATATTCATAGCCAAAACTGAATCAAAAGAGAGAGATAGAGAAGGGATCAAAAATACCTCATGATGTTTCTCAATGTCTGCTTTTCTAATTTTGGCAAATTATATCAAAATCATGTGTCCGAACACTATTTTTGTTTTTTCATGTTTCTTAAACAAAACGAGAAAAAATTGAAACACTTTCATTTTGTGTTCTTTGTTTTCATTTTTTAGAAAAGGAAAAATTTGTTCGGCTAACTGTTTTCGAATACTGTTTTTAGAAAGGAAAAAAAAATCCAAAAACAAACCCTTTTATTAAAAAAAAAAAAAACTCAAAAGCTGTTTTCGAATATTCAAAATTTGATTTTGCACAACAATGAAACAGTGAGTGTTTTTGAACATTTTGTTGATTTGCTTTTAAAAACATGAAAATAACAGAAACACAACCAGCCATGCTAGAAGTGTATGGTATTGATGCAAAATGAATTCAGTCAACAAATTTCATTTTCTGTGCATTTTTTCTAGGTACGTAGCATTGTTGATTCGTGTTTTAATTTTGATTGATAACAGGATGACAATCAACAAATTTGCAAAGAAACTAAAAGAACTAGCAGAGCAGCTTTTAGACTTGTTATGTGAGAATCTAGGGATAGAGAAAGGGTACCTCAAGAAGGCTTTCTATGGCTCCAAGGGTCCAACCTTTGGCACCAAGGTCAGCAACTACCCTCCGTGTCCCCACATGGAGCTGATCAAGGGCCTCCGAGCCCACACTGATGCTGGTGGCATCATCCTCCTCTTCCATGACGACAAGGTCAGTGGACTCTAGCTGCTCAAGGATGGAAAATGGATCGATGTCCCTCCGATGAAACACTCCATTTTAATCAACATAAGGGACCAACTTGAGGTACAACAGTACTACATAACCCAAAACGTTAGTCATCTTCATTTGAAACATTTGTTAACTGTCTTTAAGGAATTGTTTTCAATTTTGAATGAAATTTTTTTATTTTCTGTGTCCATATAGACTACGTCTTTAAAAAAAAATAAAAAATAAATAAAATTGAAAAGTATCAACTAATGAAACAAATAAGCTAGATTTTGTCAAAAAAGCCTAAAAAAGTTGGTTGATTTTTGTCTTTATTGGACCCTTCCAAAAAAGTTCTAAGTTTTATTAAATTTTAAGATGTCTTGTCTAGATGAACCTAAAGAGTAAAATAGTCTGACTTGAAGTTTAAAAAAAAAAAAATCTACTAACACAAAAATAAGCTAACTTATAAATTGCAGACACAACCAAAAGACAAAAATATGGTTCTAACACAGTAATTATGTGTGTAATTGTATTTGTACAGGTAATCACAAATGGCAAGTACAAGAGTGTGATGCACCATGTGATTGCTTAGTCAGATGGAAACATAATGTCGATAGCCTCATTCAACAATCCTGGCAGTGATGCTGTCATCTATCCGGCACCTGTATTGGTAGAGAAAGAACAAGAGCAAAAGCAAGTGTATCCGAAATTCGTGTTCAAGGACTACATGAAGCTCTATGCTGGCCTGAAGTTCCAGGCCAAGGAACCAAGGTTCGAAGCCATGAAGGAGGTGGAAAGTACCATCAACTTGGGTCCAATCATAACAATTTGAGTTCAATGTCAACTATGCTTGTGTGTGTTTTTACATGTCACCAAGGCTAATAAGGCAATTAACAAGACATTAAGATAATTAAAGCTACTCGTTTAGCCTAGTTTTCAATTTCCTGATGTGTTGATTAGGTTTAGAGCTTGTCTTGGAGTTCATTATGTGTTGGGTGTTTGGTTGTGGTGGTGTTCGTGATGTATTGTATTGCATAAAGTAACTACAACTTTTCTTTTAGATGTGAAATGTTTCTTTCTGTAAGTTACTTCAAAAGGAATTTGTAGAATAATAGTCAAAAGTGCAATATGTGTGTGTAGCTTTTCTATAGGTAAGTCAGTGGTCTTTAATACCAAGAGAGAATTTACACCAAAACTTTAAACCAAAACTTTAAAAATTCAGAGGACAAATACACTAACCATGTAATGAAAGAACTCTAGGAAGAAGGGGCAAATAGCCACCTCTGACTATCCAATTGCTTGTTGAATTCACTATGTTTCTTAGTTTTTGCATTGTTGCTTTCTATAAGGTGTTGCACTGTTTAATTAACTTTTCTTCTTCTTGTTGTTGTTTTTTTTTTTTTTTTTGGAAGGGGGCGTGGGGTGGGGTTTGATTGGCAACAAAAAGGAGATATAAGAATAAAAGGGTTGTACAAGAAGGGGGAAAAGAAGTCCACCAAAAGGCAACAAGAAAATCATAATAAAGAAGGGAAAAAAATCGCAAACTATAGACAGCTTCCCAATCCCTAGAAATTAAAAAAAGTGGCATCCTTTTGAAAGGAGGAGCAACCAAAACCCAAAAAGAAGTCAAAAAACAAAATATTTTCCCACAAGGTTTCAAAAGTCATTAGCTTTATCTTCAAAAAAATTGGGCATTTCTTTCAATCTAAACTACCCATGACACTCAAAATGAAACTCAAACTAGAGTTCAGAATTTTGGGAAAACAAAAACTAAACAAAGGCTCAAGACTATGAAGAAGATTCCACAGACATTAGCGTTGTGTTTCAATGTAAAAGGCACTGCTAAATGATCTTTTTGTAGAGAGAGATAGAGAAGCAATCAAAAACACCTCGTGATGTTTCTTAATGTCCATCCCTAATTCTTGAATACTCGAAGAGACGATGGCGGCGCTAACACTAGCTCGGAGATACGATGTCGGTAGTAACGACAAAGAAGGAGAATGAGCAAGTCGGCGGCGGCGCTAAAGAGGGAGTAGCTAGGGTAGAGAGTGAATGTGTGTTTCTCAATGTCTGTCTCTCTTTCTACTACTACCAATACCATCTTTCTCAAACATCTTCCTCTTTCCATCCTTGAAATCATTGTAGTCTGACTCTCTCCTCGCAAAATCTCCTAATTCTTCTCAATCATCCTCTTCCTCGATTCCAAAATCAAAAGTGCTCTCCTCAGCGGTCGTGTTCTTCTTGATGAGTCGCTTCCGAGGCTTCGACTTCACATCTAAATCGTTGTAAATTGGGGTCGAAGAAGGGCTTTAAGGGAAATCGAAGGGCCTTGTAGAGAGGATGGAGGTGGATGATTTGAGAGGGGTTTTGAGAGAGAGAGAGAGAGAGAGAGGGCGATAGGTTTGGAGTTAGAGAGAGAGAGAGAGAGAGCCTTTTTTCTTTCTCTTCAAATGGGAATTTTCTCTCAAATTAGGGCTCAAAATAGTGAAGTGAAGCAGATCAACGCTGGGAAGATTGAGGGGGGAGGGACAGATCGGAGATGAGAAGGGTGAGGATTTAGATTGGCAATGGAGGTGCATCGATGGTAAGAGTTTTATTCCATCAGTTCCTTTCATTAATGTTGGGGATGAAAATGTATATGTTCTTTTTCTAATATATATATATATATATATATTGGTGAATTGGAGCCAGAAATTTTCATTTTGGCGCCTTTTTTTTTTTTAATCATACAATTCACGACATGCATTGTGCGTCGTAAAAAGCAATACTTTTAACGGCAGGCGATGTGTGTGTCATAAAAAGTGCAATACTTTTAACGGCGGGCATTGTGTGTGCCATGAAAAGTATTCACTTTTCACGGCTAGCATATGTGTGTTGTTTGTAATTAATGTATTAACGGCACGCCATATGCATGTCGTAGAAAGTTTTATTATTTACGGCATGCATTGGAAGTCGTAAAAAAATCATTGTTATTACCATTCACGGCCTATGCAATAGATGAGCCGTGGTTGGAAAAGTATTTATGACGTGAAAAAAAAGTAAGTCGTAAAAGTGAGAAACTATGGCGTGCATTTATTGTATGCTGTTGATGTGGGTCTGATCACTTGCATGCATAGCCTTAGAGTTATGTCAACCAAAATGGTCTCTAATCTTTGACATTCACTATACATCACTTCGTCATTGCTTCAGTTCTGTCAAAAAAGGGCAATTGTAGACACTCTATTTTGATTAACCCTAAGAATTCGGGCACCTGCAAGCCTCCCGATAAAGAAACGATAATTACTTCATTTTTGGAATGTTTAAGGTTGTTTATAGTTGCTGTATAAACCCGCTTTTAGTCAAAAAACCAACTTTTTGACCTCAAAAACCAACATTTTTCAAAATTACAGATTTATCAAAAACATTGATCGGAGAGAAATTGAGACTTACTCGGGCCACAAGCAAACCAAGATCATGGGACCTCGTACTTATGCATGCATGGATGGCACGTGTACCAAGGCAAGTCATGCATGCGCACATTGGTTGTGCGTACACACAAACATCGTGCACATCCATGCGTGCCAGAGCCATTTTTGGTAACTCAATCTTGGTGAAATACTGGAGGGAGGCGGTAAGGGAAAGCGACGGAAACCCTAGAGGGGCTCTAGAACCTTCACCATTGTTTATAGAAGGGCCCTCTCCTCTTCCCTTTCAAGAGGTTAACAACTTGAGAGCTTTTGTGATTTTTTTAGAGCAAAAATACCTATCTTTTTCCCCCATTGCCTTAGCTCCGAAAATAACCCACCACTACAAGAAATTGCATTTTTCGCAACGCAACAAAATATGTTGCTAAAAGGGAAAATTCGTTGGCAAAGAGTTTTGCCGACACACAAAGCTACGTTGGCAACCCGTAGGCAAAAGTGAGTTGGCAAAAGTTTTTGCCGACGAAATTCTTATTGCATTGGTAAAAGTAATACCTTTAGCGACGAACATAATCGTCGCTAAAAGCCTCCATCCATCGTTGGCAATTTACCTTGCGTTGGTAAAAGTCATTCAAATATGATGATTGTGTGGCACTTTTCGCGGCACAAATTTGCATGGGCAAAAAATATACTTTTAGCAACAACATATGCGTCGGCAAAAGTAAACTTTTGGCGATACATTTACGTCGGTAAATGTTACCATTTGCCGACGATTTGTTTGTCGCTAAAGCTTTACTTTTGGCAACGACAAATTGGCATTGGCAAAAAATACACTTCTACCAACACAATATGAGTGGGGAAAAATAACTTTTAGCGACACATTTACGTCGGTGAATGTTACCATTTGCTAACGATTTGGTTGTCGACAAAGTTTTAGTTTTGGCAACGACAAATTGACATTGGCAAAAAATACACTTTTAGCAACACAATATGAGTGGGCAAAAATAAACTTTTGGCTACACATTTACCGACAACAACAAATTTGCGGCGGCAAAAATAATTGAAACTCATTTATAGTATTTTAAAAGATTTACAGTTTTACAAGAGGCATCCCTCAGGCACCACTACAACAAACTAATAACATTGATATGAAAGCACACAAAATACCCCCGCCATACCCTTCCATCCAAAACACCAGCAGTTGCTCGAACTTACACCTAATGACAATCCCCATTAATGAAAACCTGATCTATTACAAACTAATAACATTGATATGAAAGCACACAAAATACCCCCGCCATACCCTTCCATCCAAAACACCAGCAGTTGCCCGAACTTACACCTAATGACAACCCCCATTAATGAAAACCTGATCTATTACAGATTGGACAAAAAGTCCTGCACCCTTCCAAACATTAACAACACCAGCAAACATCCAACAACACCGCAACACCTCATCGTAACAATCACCATCACAGCAGCATCACCACAGCATCTCAGCAACAGCAGCAACATCACAACAGCACTAGAAGAATACTAGATTAGTATAGCAGATCAGCAAACTGATTCAACACAGATCATCACTCCGCTCT